TGATGATGATGATGGTGATGCTGATGACTATGATGATGATGATGCTGATGATGATGATGATGATGCTGACGATGATGATGGTGATGATGATGTTGACCATGATGATGACGATGATGATGATCATCATCATCATGATGATGGTGATGACGATGATGCTGCTGCTGATGATGACGATGCTGACGATGATGCTGCTGATGATGATGACGATGATGCTGCTGATGATTAGGATGAGGATGGTGATGATGAATTTGAAGATGTGGAGGATGCGGCTGCTGCTGATGATGATGCTGATGGTGATGATGACGCTGCTGCTGCTGATGATGACGCTGATGAAGCTAACGATGATGATGGTGATGCTGTTGATGATGATGCTGGTGATGGTGTTGCTGCTGATGCTGATGCTGAGGCTGCTGCTGCTGATGATGCTGATGGCGATGATGACGCGGATGATCATCAAGCTGAGTATGATGATTGCAGGATGACGTTGATGATGACGATGCTGATGCTGGTGATGATGAGGATGAGGATGATGCTTTTGTTGATGACGATGATGATGACGCTGATGATGCTGATGTTGATGCTGATGATGACGATGATGATGATAGTGATGATAATGATGATGCTGACGATGATGATGATGCTGATGCTGATGATTATCATGATAATGAGGATGATGATGCTGCTGCTGATGATGATGATGATGATGAGGATGTTGTAGCTGATGATGATGGTGAGGATGCTGATTTATGATTATGTTGTCGATGCTAATGGTGCTGCTGATGATACTGATGCTGATGCTGATGCTGCTGCTGCCGATGATGATGATGATGATGATGATGATGATGATGATGATCATCATGACGGTGATGATGCGGATGATGATGAGGATGCGTATGAAGATACCTACCAGGATGACGTTGATGATGACAATGATGGTGCGGATTTCTGGTGGTGGTGACGATGCTGATGCTGATGATGATGAGGAGTAGGAGGATGATGATGCTGATGATGATGTTGATGATGATTATGATGGCGATGCTGATGCTGATAATGATGCTGATGCGGAGGACGATCATGACCCTGATGATGCGGAGGCTGATGATGATGATGATGTTGATGCTGATCATGATGATGATCCTGATGATGACGATGACGATGATGATGATGATGATGATGATGATGATGATGATCGTGAGGCTGATGATGATGCTGCTGATGATGATGCAATTGGAGAGTATCATGATGATGGGGATGATGATGATGATGATGATGATGATGATGATGATGATAATGACGATGATTGTGATGATGATGATGACGATGACGACGATGTTGTTGATGCTGATGACGAGGATACTGAGTATGACTCTGATGATGATGATGACGATGATGCCGGTGATGATGCTGATGCTGATGCTGCTGCTGAACATGATGATGATGATGATGATGATGATGATGATGATGATGATGATGATGATGATGATGATAGTGATGATGAGGACGATGATGAGGATGATGAAGAAGATGAGCTTGAGAAGGAAACATGATTACGTTGCTGATGTCGATGATGATGGTGATGACGCTGACGAGGACGATGACGGTGACGATGATGATGATGATGCTGATGATCAGGCGGATGATATTGACGACGAGGATGCTGATGAGAAAGCTGATGATGATGATGATGATGATGATGATGATGATGATGATGATGATGATGACGATGAGGCTTATGATGACGATGAAGAAGATGAGGATGGGGAGCATACTGGCGATATCGAGGACGACGCTGACGATGATGACGATGATGATGAGGATGATGGTGATGCTGATGATGACGATGATGATGATGCTGCTGCCGATGCTGCTGCTGATGATGATGATGATGCTGATGCTGATGAAGGTGATCATGATGGAGGAGGAGGAGGAACGCGAGGGAGATAAGGGAGAGGAAGGGATGGCGGGTAGGACACCTTGGGATCAGTCTCTTCGTGGGCGTCCGATTATAGATGCGAAACGAGAAACGAAGAGGAGGAGGAGGAGCAGGAGGAGGAGGAGGAAGAGGAGGAGGAGGAGGGAGGAGGAGCAGGATGACAACGAGGAGGAGGAGAAGGAGGAGGATGAGGAGGAAGAAACACACAGTAATACTAGGAATAAAACTAATAATCAGGACGAAGCATACTACTGATAATAAAACTCAATGTAGCAAGCATGTTCATAATAATTTCATACTGATATATAATATTTTAATGGGAATACAAATATTAATGAAACTAAGAATGTTAAGGCTGAAACGTAATAATCCTAATACACATAATAAGAAGAGGAGGAGAAGGAGGTGGCGGAGGATGAGGAGGACGAGAGGGTCAGGATGTTGCCCTCATCCTGGAGGTTTTGGTGGCCGCTCCGCCTGGGCAGCCCTCTCTGGCTGACCCGGCGGCGTCCACCCTGGTTGGTGGTTGGGGACGTTCAATCACCTTCAGGAAGCGGTAGGGGCTTTCTGTTTCCAGATGATTCCTTCGGCCCCAGCGCTGGTGGAGACCTCCGTGGCCTCTTTCGATAGCCTCGGGGTGGCCCCGTTGGCAGCACTGCTCCAACGTCCCCGTGGCGCTGCCACTGCGGCCGCCCCCTCGTCGGGCTCGTCACCTACGGCGCCTGTCTGCCCAACGCCCGGCGTCGTGCCCCATGCGCGGGCGGCTCCCGCTGCGCCCCCGCGGCTGGCTTCCCCCGCGGGGCTGCCGCTCCCGAGCGGCCCGTCCTCTTCGGCGGGCCCTCTGGCGGCCGCGCCGCTGCTGCCCACGCCTGCGCAGCCGCCTCCTCCCACCGGGTGTTCGCGGCGCTCGCGGCGCGCCTCTGCCGCTGGCTTGGCAGACGACGACGAAGCCGCCCGCTTCCGCCGTGCCCTCCCTGCCCGGGCGGACGGCCGCGCGCTCACGGAGCAGGAGGTCCTTCCTCCAGCTGGTCGCCGTCCACCCTGCGGGCGCGCCGCTCTACACGGACCCCGCCTGGGCCTACTGGCTCTACGGGTTCAACGGGGCCAGGATTGGCCTTGCCATCCGCCCCTTCGGCGGAGGCGGCGTGGTCAACGTATGGCTGAGGCAAGCCAGATTGACCATAGCCGGCATTGCCGGCAGCCCCGAGGTCGGGAAGTCCTTGCTGCAGGCGACACTCCCGAGGACCACCGCGTGGGCGGGCAACCGGCCCCTCAGGCCGCGCCGCAAGAGCCCCGCCCCCGGCGCCAGCGGTCTTGGGTGCGCCGCGGCCCTGGCGCCCAACCTGCCCGCCCCCGCCGCCGCGGCTGCTGCCACGGGCACTGCCGCTGCCCCCCTCGGGCGGGCGGCCTGGCGACCTCTCCTGCCGCTGGGCCCCACCGCCGCCCCCGCCCCTTCTCGCGCTCCCCCCGCAGCTCTTGCCGCTCCCGGAGCGCGGGGCGCGGCCGCCGCTGGGATTTAGGGCCTGCACGGAGCCGCCACGGATTCCGCTGGCCGCCTCGTCGCTCCGGAGTGGCGCCTCCCTTCTCCGCTGCCGTCGCCTTTTGCCGTCGGCGTCGTGGTCGCCGCCGTCCGTCGTGGCCGAGGCGCACACTCCCGCAGGTCATGGGGTGGGGGGGCCAGGTTGTGAGGAAAGACTAGCACTAAGTCGGGCGTGTCCCCCTACAGGGGGGTTTTCGGAGAAAAACAAAAAGTACCCCCAAGATACCCCCAAAAGGTCAAACAAATAGTAAAAAAATAGTCCAGGGACTATTTTTGGATTATTTTCTGATTATTTTAGGGGTATTTTTTATTTTTGGTCGAAAATCCCCCTGCAGGGGGACACGCCCGACTTAAGACAAGCACGCGCGCAATGGCGCCGCGCACTTGCGCGGCGCCGTTGGGCGAGGTGGCAGGCGCGGCGCTGCGTGGGCCTCGAAACATGTTCTGCAGCTGCGGAGCCCGGCCTCCGCAGTGCGGGCACGCGTGCAGGGCATGTGTCGGGAGGGGAAAAAACACACGGGCACAATGCATCGTCGATCCCCCAGAAGATATGGAAAATGTGGTAAATATGGGGGAAGACAGAAAACCCAGAGAATGTAGGAACATTTGGGGGATCTGGTCATTTGTGTCTACTTATTTGTGTGTCCCAGTTCCCCTTCAAGGTGTCCACTGCCAGTGCCCGAAACGGGGCGGAACTGTGCCTGCCCTTTGCCCAGGGTATCGGCACGGCGCGCCCCTCCGTGGGTGCGCGCGACCGGACCGGACCAAACCAGACCAGGGGGAGAAGGGGAAGGAGGAGGAGGGAGGAGGGAGGAGGAGGAGGAGGAGGAGGAGGGTAAGGAGGAGGAGGAGGAGGAGGAGGAGGAGGAGGAGGAGGAGGAGGGTAAGGAGGAGGAGGGGGAGGAGGAGGAGGAGGAGGAGGAGTAGGAGGAGGAGGAGGAGGAGGAGGAGGAGGAGGAGGAGGATCCGTAGCCATTTTGGCTCCGTATCCGTTTTGGCTCAAACCATTTTGGCTCAAGCCGTTGCCCGTAGCCCCCTTGGAGTCAGGGAGTGCACGGTTAGGGCTCAAGGTGCCACAGCTGGCGTCACGAGACCCTGCCCTTCCATTTTGTTTCACCTGCTCAGGCACATCCCTGTTGGGGGCAATCTCGAGATTTTCTCTCTCGTTCTTGCGCAAGGGTGGCTGATGCAGAGTTTCACGACGCCGTGGGCCAGTTCTCAACCCAGGATCTCCAGGAGGTTGCCGCCGCTGCCGAGGACATGCCGACATTCCCCGACGCCTCTGAGGGATCTAACGCCGTTGCTACTCCACTTCGTGCCCGTGGTGCTGCTTCTGATGTCCCCGCCCCACGTGGTGATGATGAGAATAAGCGCAAGCGTCAAAGTGCCACGAACCTGGACATGGATGGCCTTCGTGCTCATGTGGGTACTACTCGTGCTGATGTTATGTGTACGTTGGCAGCTGTGCAGCAGAACCTGGTGGCCGTCGGTACTTTTGTTCAGTCGCACTGTGCGCGCATCGACCAGCAGATGGAGCAGAGGCTCGGCCAGATCCGCAACGAGATCTCCGAGCAGAACTCCAAGATCAGCAACGTGCAGTCCGAGATTGCCGAGCTCCGCCAGTGCCCGGAGCGATCCGCGCAGAAGCCCCCAGTGCCACGCAAGCTGTTCCTGCTGGTGGCAGCGGCATCGATCGCAAGACCGACAGCACCATCATCGTCCTTCGTGCCCGTGATCCCGTTCCTCGTCAGAACGCCTTCACAGGGTTCCTCCCCGTCTTGGAGGCCGCCAACATCGACGCGACCGATGTGGACATCGAGGGTGACCCCATTGCCAAGCGATTCCCTTTGCGATTGAAAGGTGTCGATGGATACGCTTCTCGCCGCGTCAACCAGACCCTCGGAGCCATGCGCGCGCTCGGCCCGAACCCTGGTTTGATGCAGTTCACTGCGAAGACCACCACCAACGCCGATGCTTCTCTCTACGTCAGCAGGGATAAGAACCCGTTCCAGATCCAGCGAGAGATCAGCCTCAAACTCTTGCGCTCTGCCGTCGAGCACGAGTACCCTAGTCGCCCATTCTATTCCGACAAGCAGAAAGGGGAACTCAGCTTCAGTTGGAAGGCGTTCGCACGCATCACCCCGCGCACTGGCTTGGGAGAAGCACCGCAGATCGAATGGGCCAAGAACCACATCGACAGCCTGGGTTTGGACAAAGCGAAGCTCTCCGAGATTACGACCAAGGTGTTCGCGAAAGAGGAGTACCCACTTGAGTGGTGTCTTTAGCGAGCTGTTCCGCCTCTGGTTTGGTGGCAGGCCTGACTTCCAATCTCTTTGGTGCTGCAGCTGGAATGCCCGTTCCCTCCTCCGCCGCGACCCCCACCTCCGCGCGATCAAATTCAACTACCTCTCTCCCCTACTCTCCGACTCCAGCGTTGTTGGCATTCAGGAAGCACGTGGCAGCGAGCTCGCGGTCCGAAACTACCTTTACCACGCCCACAGAGAGCACGAGGTTTTCAGTTCGTTTTGCCCTCGACCGAATGCGGGTGGGTCCTTGCGTTCTGGCCGCGGTGTCCGCCCTCCGCCGGCGAGGTGCCGAACAGTTTTGAGAAGACCGAACGCGTTGCAGGCAGGGTGCTTCGTGTTCGACTGAACCTTGGGGGTAGTGGTGCTTGGGTCACTCACTACAATGTGCATAACTTTGGGCTATCTGCGGAGCAAAGACGACAGGTGATTTTGGCGATCCGACGGGGCCTGGGGGACTCTCGGGAAGCACCGCACCTCCGAGTCGTGATTGCTGCAGGTGACTTTAACATCTCTTCGACACCACCCGGGCCTTTAGTGCCTGAGGAGATGCAGAACCCAGGTCTGGGCTACGCTGATTGGCGGGCCGCGCATGACCGCTCGTGGACCAGCCTCTTCTCCTCCCTCACCGAGATTGAGCTTTCCGACCCCGCTCGCGTCTCCATCGCCAACTCCTCGACTTCTGTGATCGACCGCTTGTTTGCGTCGCTGCCAGGTTGGGTTGTGACTCAAATGCGTGCGGCGGGGTATACAAAAAGGCAAGTCAAAATTTTGAACCACCGAGGGCTCTCCGACCACGCGGGCATTGCCGTGGGCTTCCGACCTGCGCCCCCCCCGAGGACCCCGAGAAGCAGCCCGTCCCAAAGGCCATTCTCAGTTCACCTGTCTTCCGAAACTACGTCCAAGCCCACCTCGACGTTGTCGACCTCTCCGTCTACGACCCCCCTACCGACCCCTGATTTACAAAACTCTCCTCAGGGACGCGGCTCGGTTTACTCGACGGGCGATTTTGACGAAAGCGCCAACGCCCAGGCTTGCCCAGCTTATACTTCTCCGTGCGATCGCCCGTGTGGTTTGGAGGCGGAACGTCCGCTTATGCAGTCTTCTTGCGCGGGCGCACGCGCTCGCGGCTGAGCACCTGGCGGTCGACGTTGCTGGCGGGGCGGTCTCGCTCAAGCGCCCCGCGGAATTCCCTGATCTGCTGGGCCGTATTCAGACCGAGGACCTGGGGGCCGCGCGATCCGAACACCAACGGGCCCGCCCGGCCTCCGACAGCGCCATCGCCCAGAAGACAATCCGACAGCGATTGCGACGTCTGGAAAGCCGAGCCCGCATCTGGGCTCCGTTCGACCGATGGCTTGCCCTGAAAGCTATCGAAATCGACGGCGTGGCCCACGTGGATCCTGGTCGGAAGCAGATTGAGATCTCGACATACTGGGGGGGGTTCTCGCCGAAGACGATAGCCCGACGCGAGGCCCGACGCTGCATCAACCGATTCTCCTCCCACCATGACCTCCCCGACCCCGCTCCTCCCACCTGCCGGCAACTCGAGAAACATGTGCGGCGACAGCGCCACTCCGCCCCTGGCCCCGACAGTTTGCCGTGCGCTGCTCGGCAGCGCGCTCCTGGCGCGGTGGGCGCCTTCCACGCTTGTTTTCTGGTGGGTTCTCGAGGGTGGCCCACTCGGATGCGAAGTCAATTTCCTGCTCGGCGCTTTCCTACCCAGGGGATCCAAGGAGGGGGTTGACGACGGGGCCGCGGGGACGGTTGGGGAATTCCGACCATTGGGATTGACAAACACTGACAGCAAACTTTTGGTTGGAGTTTGCGTCGCTTCTTTTGCTCGTCGCTGGGCGACGCTTGCATGTTCCATTCAGCGGGGTTATATTGCTGGCCGAGAATTTTGGGGCAATGTCGTGCAGCTCGACGCGGCTGCCCGACGGTGCTCTATGGCCCCCACTGCTACCGCCGACCTTCCCGCTCTCGTCTCCTTCGGCTTCTCCCAAGCCTTCCCCTCCCTGGGCCGCGAATGGATGGTGCTGGTGTTGGGTGCCCTCCGACTACCTCCGCCTCTCTAACACTTTCCTACCTACTTATACGACAATGTGGTATGCTGGGCGGTTTCTGGCGGCGAACTCCGATTTCTTTTCCGTGTCGGTCCTGGGATTATCCAAGGGTGTCCAGGGGGCGGGTTGGTTTACGCTGTAACGACGGATTGTTTTCTTCGGGACTTCCAACGACATACTGACGCCAAACACCGCGGGGAGGTTAAGGCCTGCGCAGATAATATAGGAGCTGCCATTCGCTGCCTGCAGTATGGGGGGCAGCTCCACCGCATCTTTGAGAATGCCTCGCTGCTCGCTGGCTTCTTTTTGAAGGCTGTGAAGTGCCTGATCGCGCCCCGGGGCGGCCCCATCTCCCCGGCCCTGGCGGCCCTGTACAAGCAGAAGTTAGGCTCCCTGGTGCCCGAGCGGAAAGAGGTTGAGATCGTCGGCGACCTCTTATACTTGGGGATGTGGATGGGGCCGAATGCCGAATCAAAATGTTGGGGAGGGCCGCTGACGAAATGGGGAGATCGAGGACTTGCGCTCGCCATCACTTGCTCGCCCGCTTCGATCACGCAGAGCTTACGTGCCCGCCGCGTCGTGCCCGTCTTCAGCTACGTTGCCCAGTTTCTCCCTCATCCTCCCCATCTTGCTCGACGCGACGATGCCGTGCTCGCGAGGATCTTCCGACTCCCACATTGGCCTCGCCCATGCTGCGTGGCGCTCGATGGGGGCCGGGGGTGGGCCCAAAGTGCCCTCGCTCGTCGTGCTTTCTCTCGCTGCCAGAGTTCGCGCGGCGAGCTCAACTTTCAATTCCTGGCGCTCGTGCCTGGCGTCATTGGAAGCCGTGGGTCTCAGCGAATTGGGGGTCGCAGACTTCGGCAGAGGGAAAAAAGTCCATCGTGGTGCGGAACCAAAGCGGTTTGTGAGCACATGTCCGAGGCCATGCTGGGATTCCCCAAGCGCAAAAGGTGTGAGCAGCTTCGGATGTCCATCGCCTCTTCTCTCGCGAGCCTCTCTGACGCCGTGAGCCAGCGCCGCAAATTCAAGCTCCAAAGAGCCCTCTGTGCAGCATTATCGGGGGCCCTCTTTCCTGGGGACTGGCCTGAGTTGATTTCGAGACGTCCTCGTTCCCTTTTTCCCGTGCCTCTCGATGAGGTTCGCGGCCTCGACTGGCTTCGGATTCAGGAAGAGGCTCGGCGATTGAATCCGTGCCATTCCTTAGCTGTGCCCAGGGCCCTTAGCCATAATTGGTGCACCGATTCCCGATTCCAGCAAACTGCTAGTTCACAGTGTGTCTTTGGATGTCTCGGGATGCCTGCCCCCGTATGATCCTTCTCCTTCGCTCTCTCGTCGAATGTGAGCCCTTCCCCTCTCTCCTTCCTTGGCTTTACCCATCCGTCCACAATCGATTTCCGCCTTCCCGTGGCGGCGTGCATGCTGCGCGCCGAAGCGAAGACGGCTTCTCGGCGTCGCGGTGCCCCCCTCGCAGCTGGCGAGGCCGCCGCCCTGCTGCCAGCTGTCCGATTTTCCCTCTCGAGGTAGTTCGGGTTGCGAGGACTCTCTGGGTACGCTCGAGGAGGAGGAGGAGGAGGAGGAGGAGCAGTGTCAACCCAAGAGCCATCAACGAAGTTCGAGCAACCCTTCCCTCCAAGCTCCCTTCATAAGGCCCTTACAACGGTTCATTCCTATTGAGGGGACTGCCTCGTTGGAGAGCGCCCGTTTGAAGACTCTGAAGCATGCCAAAACATTGTTCTCGGGATTCCAGCGCCATGGATCAACCTGACTGTTGCGTCTTGACGATCCAGAGTCGTGCCAAAATGCCATTCCGAGGACTTCAACACGGAGAATCAACATACTTGTTGCGCCCGCATAGTACATAGTCCTTCTAGAACATTCTTTCTGGTACGTTGATGATGGGAACCCGTGAAGCTCTTGCAACTTTTGGGAGCGACTGTGCGCGGCGCTGAGGCGAGAGCCGCATTTTGAAAAGGAGCCGCCTTCAATCCGTGAAGCTCTTGCAAACGTTTAAAATCAACGTGCGCCGCGCGAAGGCGAGGGCCACATTTTGACAACCACTCGCCCTCAACCCGTGAAATTCTTGCAACTTTTGGGATCGAATATGCGCCGCGCTAAGGCGAGAGCCACGTTTTGAAAACCACCCGCCCCCAACCCGTGAAATTCTTGCAAATGTTCGAAACGAATGTGCGCCGCGTAGCCAGATTTTGAAAACGCCCAACCCTCCATCCGCGAAGCTGTTGCCAATTTTTTAGTTTCAGAGTCATGGGTGGTGGGGAAGTCTCAGGCGACGCGCCCGGCCCGCCCCAAAAAACTGGCCCCAGGGTGCGGCAGGGACAAGTTATTTATTTGGAAAAGAATGGAGGAGGATGAGGAGGAGGAAGAGGAGGAGCAGGAGGAGGGGGAGGAAGCGGAGGAAGAGGAGGAGGAGGAGGAGGAGGAGGAGGTAGAAGAGGAATCGGTGCAGGAGGTCAGGGGGGAGGCGGATGACAGAGACGAGGGCGAGGAACAAAGGCGTGAGGAAAAGGAGGCGCCAGCCCGCCAGGAGGAGGCGCGCTGGGGCGCGGCGGCGCTCGCGGACTTGCTGCCGAGGAGCCTGCTCTTTCACGGCAGTGTGTGTGTGTGTGTGTGTGTGTGTGTGTGTGTGTGTTTGTGTGTGTGTGTGCGTGCGCGCGTGTGTGTGTGTGTGTGTGTGTGCGCGTGTGCGCGTGTGTGTGTGTGTGTGTATGTGTGTATGTGTGGGTGTCATCGCGGCGTTGGGCGTACTCGGGTCGGCTCCATGATGGCGACGAAAGTGATTAAGACAACGATGGCGAGGACGCAGATGACTATTGCGGGCTGGTGGTGGTGGTGGTGACGATGATGTTGGTGATGGTG